ATCTCACTCAATGTTTAGAGAATCATCTGATTAGCACATCACAATGATATAAATGGGAAACCCCCATTCAAGCCTGCAAGCCACCGAAACCAAGAATTGGGTTTCCCATTAACCATAACAACAAAGGCAACTGAAAAAGACACCTAAAAATCCAACACCTCCACCTCACACAAACCCTTTCCTCTCAAAAACTTTGTCGAAAAAACTGAATTCACCTTACCATAAGCCTTTTCAAACTCTAGCTAGAAAACCAAACCCCTTAGTATCACTCCTTCAATATTCTTTCCTCCTTGTACCACTGTTATAGCCTTCTTCTTACCAGTGAACGCAACTGCATCAGAATTGCAGCTCTCCTTATCATACCCTTTCTTGGGTTCAACTATTGTCAAAAATGTTTCAAGATAGCTTGAACCAACATTTGATCGAAATAACTTTTCGATCACCTAACCCAGCCTCATGCACCCTATATCACCCTTGCTTTCTAGGATGACAATTCGACATCTATTGCCTCCCACGAAAAACTTTGATAGACACAAGAACCAAACTCAAGATTTTGATTCATCTCAACCAATAAATTTTGCATAGTTCCTTAAGTGTTCGATAGCCAACTAAACCAAAATGTTCCTTAAGGCAACTAATATGATCAAGCAAACATTGCACGCCTACTCTTCCCAAATTGACCCTACACAATCTCTGTTAAGAGAACTCAGATACAACTACTCTAGAATAAATATTACCCTCTTCAAATTGAGACACTCAAAAAAGATTTAGCTTCAATGGATAATTCAACATCTTTCCCCATAATCGATTAAAAATAGATTCAAACTTAAAAGAAGAGATACCAAATAAAAAATAAATAGAAACGGTGTCTTTTGAGCATCTGTGATCATCTTTACGATGAGCAATCAACATATGATCCTTTGTGCGTTTTTTACTGCACTTTATCGATTCTTACATTTGCAATATATGAACAAGTTCAATCCAAGATTTATCAAATGCATTTCCGTGGGATATCTGAACAACCATAAAAGTTACTGCTATTATGATATTTGCACTAACAAAATTGCTGTCTTTTCTAAGCATGACTTCTTTCATGCCAAGGACTCATTGTTGTCCCAAATTCTGATTTCTCCACTCAAGGGGTCAATGAGTTTTCAACAGAGAAACAACAAAGAAATTGGAAAAAAAAAAAGATTAAAGTGGAATGTGGAAGCTTCCAATATAGCAAGGACAAAATCTATCAGAAAGAGAATAATAAAAGAAACCAATTTGTTCACCAAGTTAAATTAATCACGAGAAATAATCAAAAGCCAAATAACATGCACAACAAAAGGCAGCATCTTACAGAAATTTAAAATAAATAAGAAATTCAATATAAGCAAACCTTGAGTAGGACTTTTCCAGTCCCTAACACAAAGCCTGCATCGGTATTACCAATTCCTGTGGCAAATTGGCCAAATGCTCCAGCAGTACAGGTGTGTGAGTCAGTACCCAACAGGACCTGGATTTATTGCTAAAGGTTTAATAGCAGTTAGGAAACATAATATCACAACTGAATGAAGTAAAACAAGTTAATCTTTACCTCTCCAGGCCTGCAATGACCTTCTTGTGCAAGTGCAACATGGCATACCCCTTTATAGTCAGGGTTAACCTGAGGAAACATTATGTAAACTCAGTTTTGTAATGATAACAAGGCATAGACAGTTACCGTGCGACAATGTTGAGTTGCCAAATTGAATCCAGATTAAAGGACAAATGCATACCTTGAAATTACTAAGATCTTTAATATCATAAAAGTATTTGATATTTTGCTCCACGCAAAACTCCCTCAAAATATCCACATTACGATTCGCACGCTCATCACTTGTGAATATATAATGGTCAGGAATTATTACAATCTTTTCACGGTCCCAAACCTTCAAAATTATATCAGTCATGTTATTAACTATCAAATGAAGAAGATAGACAGCTATAGACAACAGTCTTGCAATCTCGAAAAACCTTGTCAAACACCTAAGACTAGTCATTTTTTTGGGATAAAAACATAAGCTCATTATTGCTACATTCATCTAATTATGAGTTTCAAATAAATAATGCAGTTAAAGTAACCTCCAAATATGCAAAGAGATAGCGATAGAAAACAGTCTTGTCAACAAACCTGAGTAAAGTTACGAGTTTGAGTTCTATCAGAAAATGCAAAACAACATAAAAGAAATAGAAACAAGTAAAGATGCCACCTTGAACGTAACCAGCAAATCATATCAAGAACACATTTATGGATTCAACAAAATATTTACAAGATGAGCGCACCTTAGCATTTTCACCGAATTCTTTCTTGAAGATGCCAATAGAACCAGGGCCACAGACATCATGGGTCATTAATATATCAACATTAACCCAAACGTTATCACCTGGGCTCAAATGGGGTTTCTCTGATGCTCTGGCCAATATCTTCTCAGTCATTGTCATCACAGTTTTCACCTGAAAATTCATCACACAATAATATAAAATAAGAAAAAAGAAAGAAAGAGACCCATCATCAGAAAACAAAAAGAAAAACGCGCAAATCGTAATTAAACAATCAGATAGAAATTTGAATGGTAAAAACACCGAACTGAGCCTGTGGCGGCTGGCTTGCGTTCTGATTGTTGTGGTGCCATAACTGAAACAATTTTTCTCGAAACTGATCTCTTTTGACATCTGGGAATTGATAATTTTAACGAGGATGAGGAGGCAGAAAATCCCAAATCCTTCTGCAGACAGAAAACCGAATTTTTGAGCTGCCAGAAAAAATAGAAGACAACTGGAAAACGTAACCCATGAATGAGAATGAACAGGGAAAGACCTTGCTGTTGATGATGGAAGGAGGAGACGGTGAAATAACAGAGGAAGCCATTTTGGTTTTTGCTAGCCGGATTTATGCTGTTGGTAATCTTAACGCAAAGCAGCCTCACACAATGCTGCGAACACAAAGCGCAAACCAGACAAATAGGGAAGCTGTGCGATTGAGCAGCCTAAAAGTTGACTGGTGGCGTGGGGATTTTCCCTTTCCCTAATTAAAATGAAAATGAAACAATAAAAATTTCACTTTTCCTGAATAAATAATTTCACTTTTTAATTAAAGTTTTATTCTTTTCCTCAAAAAATAATTGAACTTTTCTTCAAAGAGACAGAGGAAGTGAGAGAGAGAGAGAGAGAGAGAGAAAATTTTTCTCGTCTGAAAGGAAAAATCATCTGAACAAGGTTGAAACTGGCTTCGACATTAAGTTACTAGTTTAAGAAATTTTAAAATACGTAGTGTATATATTTTGATCATAACTGTAGAATATTTTTGAAAATACTTTTCCACAGTGTAACCTTCAAAATATATGGACGAACCGGTTCGACCGACAGTAAGAAGTTGATTTAACATAAATCCGCACATGTCAGCTTCTAATTTCGTGATCCGACGCCGATCGCCAGAAAAAATGTTAGAAAAAGTAGCACT